ATATATATATATATATATATATATATATATATATATATATATATATATATATATATATATATATATATATATATATTTCCCCATAGCTTTCTGTCGTATCGCAATACAGTATGACCATACCGTGTCGCTTACTTTATTGGTTGCTCAATCACTATCTCTATCATTTATAATAGAAAATGATAAGTTATTGGATAATACCGAATTTTTTTTTGTCTATAATGGAAAAGAAAGTAAAAATTTCAAAGAGGAACAAACCAAGCAAACGTTTCGATTATGTGCTTCTTCGGTACAAAGAACATCATCCGGTAAATTACTTAATTTTTCTTTGCACATTTCTCGATTCAATAAACGTTGAAATTCCAACTTTTGTAAACTGTTCATAAGAATGCGTTTCATAGCTGCTACAATTGAATGAATGTCAACAGAGGAAGAAGAAAACGAAGATTTGATGATGCTCTATGTAAAGAAATAATTAATTAAAATTTTTCCTTTAGCTTTTATAATTCCATATTTGCTGATCTGATAGATGTGCAATTCAAAATAAATAAAGTATCAAAAGGTACAAGTTTGGAATTTTTACTGACACTTTGAATCAAATTGTAAATCAAAAAGATGATCTAATAATTCAAATCTATTGGTTACAATAATTCAGCAACAATGCATAAGCAATGCATGTAAAACAGACGATTGCTTCCCCATCCAACGCTTTGAATTGTGTAAAACTTTTCGCCTGGAATTATTCTACTTGCTAAACATATATAATTTGCACTTTTTTCATCTATTTTACTTTCCAATTCCAATAATGCAATATCACCTCCAAAACAGTTTTGTCGGAAGAAACGTCCATACTGAGCTCTAGAAAATGTTAGCAAAATGGTCAATTTAAAGTATTAATTTACATCTTAACAAAGAGCTTTAAGGAAGAGAAATGATAGCTAGTGAATACAGTTAAAGATTTTTATTTGAAATTGCTAATATCTTGAATAAAAACCATATTTAAAGAAATGATAGATGAAATGTTTACTATCATTTATACTTACTGATCTATGATATTATTTCAATATTTCAAATCAATTTAAATAACTGTTACGATATTTTGCAAATTGCTGTATTTATAATAAGGGATGAAAATGCTTCTTATCTTAGTTAATATTATGATAGTGATTCTCTGCTATAATATTTAATTATCATATTGCACATTTGTATATTCAATAATCTTTCACGTAGAAAAAAAAAAAGAGGAAAAAAGTTATTTGCATGCAAACCTTACGATTCTCATTGATTTCATAGGTAATGAATTGAAACAATTATTGTTTAATTTATTTCGTTTCAGACACTTTGATCCGTACATTATTTTTGTACTTTGTAAGGCCTCATCTTCAGTGATTGCTTGGTTTGGGCTTAAAATAAAACGAATTAGCAGTTTAGAATGTTTCATTACAAGTGATTTCTGATCGATGATTTCTAATCAAAGCATAACATTTATTTCCGGTGATTACAACTAAACGCAGGAAATATTCCATGCTTTAGCTATTCAATTAATTAATGGGGAAGGAATAACCTGAAATCAGACTAAGATGAAAAAGGTAAGCCTAAAAGAAGGAACACGTGAAGAGCTAGTCCAATAATTTTAACCATAAAGTCTAGTAAAATTAAATTTCAAATATATTCATCGATTTTTCAAGAAATGTCAAAATATAATTCCTATAATTTTTTCTTTTAAATTTCATTTAATGTAATCTGTAATTCGGTATAACATTGCCTTTTTTAAAGGGAAGCACAGAAAAATACGCTTGGAATAACATTCAGTAAAACATTGAAATGTTCCCTTCTAGCGCAAATGCAAAATAAAAACTCCTAATTAATTAATTGATTGAGCCTATTCTTAGGATTTTAATGATCAAAAGGTATATTTTACCGACATTGCCCTAAGGTTGGGCTGACATTTTTTTTGAAAAAGCAATGCGCTGCAGTTATAACATGCTTGTTGGAAATTAACGTGCCAACGCAACAGTAAACTGAAAAAAAAAATGCTTGCAGTTAAAAAAAAAAGCAACTGATAATAGCAGTAATTGAAGAAAGTTGGAAAAGAAATGAGAAAGAAAAGTTGAAAACTTAAATTCTGAAAAAATTGAAAACTTAAAAATGTGCTAAATAAACAATTTGTTTCTTATATAGCATATTCATTTCTGTTGAAAATATTCTGAAATTAAATAATTGAAATGTCACTATAATGCTATCAAGAAGAAATTTAACAAAAAAATGAAATCATTTACACCGAATTATATGTCTGTGGACAAAAGTCACAACCATCATTCTGTATAGTTTCTATACATATTTTGATAAGTGCTATGTAATGAAAACGATAAAGTTTAAATTCAAAATTGATTTAAAATAGCAATGAAAAGATAATTTGTAAGGATGCGAAGATTGTATCTTCTAAAGAAATTAGCACATGGGAATGTTTAGCATAAACAATAATTGATAATATCATGATACGTAACAGAATAATAGAATAATTTGAATTGTTTAGTGTACAGAATTCGCATTAATTCTGAAGCTTATACGATCGAATGATATGAATCATCCACCGAAATGAAGCTTATGCAGTTTGACAATTCAACCATTAGCATCAAATTGATTGGTTCGTAAGCATTAATTCATTTACTGATAGAAGTATGAGTGGAATATTTAATAATGAACAGTAGAATGAAGAATATAATTCAAAGGTCATATTTTCCATTTTTTTAAAACGCTCAAGTGAAGGATTGCGTGAATGGTCTTTGCAAAGAATTTATTGAGGATGAAAAGTGAAAGATACAATTGTTTATATAAACAGCTACAGTCCATGGATGTTCACCCACTTCGACATCTGTACCACCCATAACTTTTAAATGATAATTTGGCTTTCGTACATATCGTTTGTCACGTGAAATACGATTTAGCGGTAATCCACATTTTCGTGGATCTATAAAAGCATTTAGTAACAAAAAAAAAAAAACGACAGAGTTTGCTTAGTGAAATTAGCAAGTAATTAGGAACTAGAAATTTGATATGATAGGGATAAATTCGTCATATTAAAAGAAGGGAAAATTCAAGTCAAAAGATGAATGAAATTCAGAGCTATGCTATAAACTTACCATAATATGTCGTGTTAAATGATAAGCTGACAATTTGTTTTGGTTTCACTGAAAAAAAAATTAAAAAATTTTGACGAAAGCAAAAGCTGAAATTTAATAATTCCTTTAAATTAGAATTTCAATTATTCCGACATTCTTCATTTCCAAACCTTTTCCTATATACGTTTGGATTTTGTTGACTTCATTCTGTCTACCATTTGCATTTTTGCTTACTTTATCAAATATTATTGATGACAAGTTGTTGTGACCTTGTTTATGACCTTCATCATTTCCTAATTATTTAATAAGAAGCAATGACAATGAGATAACAAATGACTTCATTTCCTCCTAAGTAAAATAAGCGTATATTAGAGTAGATTTTTTTTTTCATTAAACATTAAAAGTTTGACGAAGTTTGCATACCGTTTTTGATGAAAGCAAGGATAAAAATGAAGATAATAGAAATATTTGCTTTCATTTGAGCCAACTTATTCCTCACTTTCGATTATTGTAGCAGGAAGATTTTGTGCACATATCGTTTGACCCTTTTAAAACGAAATGACGACAGGTGAGAGGCATGAATAAATGAGGAGAGTATGATTTGCAGTATCAAATTTTATTCTCACATTGAATGATTATCTATGATGAGTAATATGTGGGGCTGAATTTTACAGACATTTTTATCGGATTGCTGGCGCGTTGAATTCGATTAATGCATAATCTGTACCATCTGTTGATATGTGGGAAGGTTCTCAAAAATACTAAAATTCTATTCTATGAATTACTGTTTACAAATTAATTAATGTGACAACATGATAATTAGGACTGGACATGTCTCCAGGATGGAAGATCATCGCTTTCCTAAAATTATGAACTTATTACCGGCTTCCGCAAAACAAAACCTCGAAGAAGAGATACAAGGACGCCTTGAAATAATATCTCCTTGGCCATATAGACTATCATCAGTCCATTCTGCCTCAAATCGGGAGATATGGAAACACATCATTCATAAGGCTGCTGCTTGCTTTAAAAGCACACGCAGACAAGCCACGAGCATCCAAAACAATGCAGAAAAACCCCTATCTCACCAATACCGCCTAAGGAGATCTTTTGTTGTACTTTTTGCAACTGGACTTACCTATCCTGCATCGGTCTTTATAGCCATCAGAGTGCTTGCAGCAAGCATGGATAAAGCCTAGGTATGATGATACTATTGATTTTTTATGGTATATCAAAATCTTAAATTACTTTTTAACAGTTTAAAGTTTTAACATTACTTATTTATTTACAAACATATACTTTTATTTTCAGGTCATTATAACTTTAGATAAAGAAATTTTCTGGATGAGAATGATTAAGTTATTGTGATAATAAAAAGAGCAAATGATTGGAGGTGTTGAAATACAATTAAATTTCTGATTTCTGATTACCTGAACATTTCATTTATTGCGTATGATTGTAATGTTACTTCACTCGTTAATGTCAATTGAAATGTAATTTTCATCGAATTTCCTCTTTTTGAAACTGCAGAATGTATTTAAACACAAGTTTTGATTACTTTATCTTTGCTTTTATTAATTTAGAATTTCACCCTAATGGACTAACTTTACCGCTGATTTTATATTCTAAATATTCAAATATTGAATATGGTTCGTTTGGTGTTATGCTCACAAACTGTTAAGAATGTTTTCAAAAACTGAGGCACTTTGTGACACTTTGCTCTATTTTAGCCACAGTATGCTAAACTAACTTGAAAATTTATAGGCAGCACAAAAATTATCGGAAGACTGTTTTCTTGTGTTTTATATGAAATTCGTTTTTTTTTTTTTAAATCTTAAACAAAATGATTATGATTTTAATCAATCAACAACAAAAAAATGTGTTATACTGTGAATACTAAACTATATACCCCGCGATCCACTGTCACAATTTTGCATGTAAACATGTTTCAAGGGAAATTTTACTTGAATGAATATTTATTACATTGCTCACATATCTATATGTATATATATCAGCTTCTATAAATTTGATATGAATAAACATGATTAATGGTTAGGTAAAAATGAAGTATTAGAGAATGTGAGAGAAATAAAGTTGTTGAAAAGAAAATAATTTTGTAGGTAAGGGTGAGATCTAATTATATATTAGCAAATAAGATTTATTTAAATGAAGATTCGAAAGCTGAAATGTCCAACATCTTGCTAAAAATTATTCAACACAACTTTTACCACCAATAATGGTTTACTTTGGATGACAAGAAGAAAAAATCAGTGATGTAGAGAAAGGCATGATATTAAGAGAGCAGCTGGTGAATATAAATTTCCATAGTTTGGAAAGGTATTACTTCCAATGCTTATGATTTAATGCTTTACAAGGGTCAAAGTTACAAAAAAAAGATCTCAAAATGACTTCGTAAATGTGGTACTATCAAGAGGAGAGGAGGGGGAAGCGAGAAGGAGTTTTACTTTATTTATTGAAATATCGGTTGGCACTTTGTAATCTAATCGGTAATTAATAGTAATTAATGGTTGGTTGGTTGGTTAGTTAATGGTTGGTAAATCAGCAATTAATATAATCTAATTAAATCAGTTATTACTTATGTGGCGGAGGTGTCAATCGAAGAAAGAACCATATTCTTCCCATCCTTCGCACTCATTTTTTAACAAATTGTAATTGGAGAGGACAAAAAGATATGTAATGTGTTAATGAGTGACTCTTTTAATTAAGAAATTGTCATTTAAAAGAAATTTCTAAAGAACAACAGATGGTTCGTTTTCCAAGAAAAACCAAATTTTCCACTGAAGCTAATTGTTTTTTTGGATCACACTGTGTCTACAATTGCAGGGCTTAAATCAGATACTGTTCTGTTCATCACTTTGTTGTATTGTTAGCTTGACTAATGGCTATTTCAGCCAAGCCAATTTCTTTTATTTCAAGCCTAACTTTCAATTCTTCGATGAAACAATCTCTCAGGAAATGTAAGGGAAATAATCACTGGCCATTTAATTGAATGTTCAATCATCCATGGGTTGTTTGCAACAAAAAATCCGAGGTATTTCCTGACCGAGGACATTACCCACAAAAAAATGTTTAATATATCCTCATGATCCTTACTTGTTCCTTTCATTAACTGAAGCTTATTATGACCGATATTTACACCTTTTTACCGCCCACTGCTCACTAATTTCACTTCTTAGGTAAACTTCAGTAAGATAATTCACTGATAATAGAGGGCTATTTGGCAGATTTTCTCGGCGGCAAAGAATTTTCCTAAGCTATTCTACTACTTAGACAACAAGGATGTCACAGTGTGTCGCAGTTCCTCTCGACCGCTTCTCCCGTTTGCCTACAAAAAAAGACAATCATCGTTGTGAAGTATGCCAAACTATGGAGGGAAGATCCGTGCTGTCATCGACCATGTGCGTCACTGACCACAATCAATGTACGGCTATTATGGGAACTTCTCCTTCCTTCAATGTTACCGTAATTTCTCACTTTTTTTTGCATTTACATTTTATATTTGATTTCAAAAAATCTGTTTTCCCCAAATCTTACAAAACTTTTGTCCAAATGTATTACATATTGAATGCCACACAAAGTCAAACTTTGTTGAAAAAAATCCATTTCAGTATCGAATTCAATGAAATTATGAAACCCAAATTTAAATTCTTAAAGTTAACATTTGTTCAATAATTTTAAACTTATCTAAGGCTTATTTAATTAACTGCTCGTATTTATTCCTTTTTTATTAATATAAATATTATGCTTCTGAAGATTTTAAATGAAATTTCATGGGCATAATGGAACGATTTGCAAGCACTATCCAATTACGGTCATTCAAAAAAGTAAACTCATTAAGCGCTAAGAAATCGTTAACATGAAAAAGTTGAAGATAGTATATTGAAATGTAACCATAATCATCCCTGACCACTGTTCGCTGCCATATCATTGACAGTAACGTAATTCTCCGTGATTACAAGACTTCTCATTTTTCCCTAATACAAATGTATCCAAAAACAATTGCAAAAGCGTGCTCTTTTGTCGAATAAATCATCTAAAGGTGCAGGCTCACCTTCGATCAAGTTCCTAAGTGACCTTTGCGTTTCACGAAAACATCGTCAGGTAATCTGACATGGCCAATCGTTGATGCCTTAGGGCGAAATCCAGCCATTTTCGCAAATTCCTTTCATTGCGGTCACTGATCTTAGATAATGCTGAATGAGATTAAAATTTGCTTTATTTAACATCCTTGACGTCAAACCATTGTTTTGCTGTAAACCCTTTAAACTACTATTTGTGATTTTCGTAAGGTGCTAAGACAGTCATTAGACAAAGTTATTAATTATAAACACAAAAGGATTGATTATTGGGATAACAATAAAATGATTCATTATGCAAATCTCTTTACTATCGACAAGGATGCTTAGTTGCATGGATGTAAATTAATAATGGTGTAGTAATCACTAAATCACAAACAATAAAAATAACAGGAATTTTAAAGGCAGAAAGTGAAGAATAATGGAAACGAAGTTAATAACAATAAAATTCA